CCGGACCCGGACGCGGCTCCTCACCCGGTGCCGCGACCCGCAGGTGCCAGCGATATCGAGCGGGTCCTGGCCGCCTGCTGCGAGCAGGGAGACGCCGTGGTGCAGGCGGCGCGGAAGCTGCTCTCCGACGAGCGGGCCCCCCGGAGGCAGAGGCTGCTGGCGGATCTCATCCACAACCTGAGCGAGAACGCTCTGGCCGAGGACAAGGAGGACGACAAGAAATGGTTCGAAGGTGCGTCGGGCGCTGCTGAGGGGCGCCGGGTCTCGGTTGGCTCGAAAGAGTCGCTTCGGTTAGTTTTACTGCTCTTAAAGTAGTTTAAAAATTCGGGCGTCCATCTGGCTGCTGTGATTTGGTACCTGGTCAGGGGCTCAGTCATCGCTTATGCCAGCACCTGTTTTTCAACTTCTTTAAAATACACGCACGTTTCCTATCAGAAAATGGTAAAAATCCCAATATTCCCTATTGCTCCACATCTACGGTACTTTTTTTTTGCCATTAATATCCGTCTGCATTTACCACCTTAACAATTTGCTAACAATAATGTTGGTAATTGGCATGGATCGGCCAGCTTCCCCCTCCCTTTCCCAAGCCAGCCTTGCGCGGCTTCTCGCACAATCCCGGTTTCTTTGCGCAGTCTCACGGTGTTCTGTGTCCACGCGTTAAGGAGGAGCATTTAACTGTAATGTCAGCTGCTGCTCTCGCAGCAGATGCTCTGCATCCTCCTTTTAAGTGCACAGACCAGGGTGGTCCTGAACCAGTAAAGTAAAAACGGGACGGAAAAACCCCAACCCCAGCATGTACCGGGTTTGTGACGGAAGGGATAAACACTCAGCTGGGCAGAAGCGCAGCACTAACAACCCTGAGTTACAACCCCCTCTAACTCCCTTCAGGTCTAGAGTCTCGTTTTAAGAACAAATCAAGCTACATGCGATACAGTTGCGAGAGCAGAATGCGAAGCTACATGAAAGAGGTAAAAACTCTCTGTTGAAGTAACTTCTTTTCCAGCTGCTGCTAAAAGTAATTGTGTGACTGCACATACAAAGCGCCTTTACAGTGCAAAGAGCCTCAGGCTGCTGCAGGCACCAAGGAATGATTGGGGTGGTTTTTTTCCCCCACCTAGGTTAGTAGTTTTACTTCAAGCGTTCACCTGACAGCAAGAGATACGTATAAAAGGATAATTGACCTGATGGCAGAAAAACTGAGGTCTGTGAAATACAACGGCTGCTACTTTGACCGAAGAGAGGAGGAGGAGGCAGCCCGCCTGTGCACCACGGAGGGGTGGTTCTCTTGTCAGGTAAGTTCAGCCCTTCCTAAAGCAGAGCCTTGGTTCCGGCACAACTCGCGCGTTAGAGGAAGGAAACGGCTAGGCGGACGCTCGCGTAGCGCGGTGTGGGGTCTGGCGGGGCGACGTTCTCATCCCGCGCGTGGTTAGTTAGAGCGAGTGGAAGGATGCGCTGGGGTGACGAGCAGTGCGCCTTTTGCTGAAGCTCTCTTGTTTTACAGGGACCGTTTGACAGGGATGACTGCCCCTGTAAGCATTCCATCAACCCTTACAGTAACAGGGAAAGCAGAATCCTCTTCAGTACCTGGAATCTCGATCACATGTACGTATCAAGTATTAGCCCAACCGTACCCGTTTCATGCCCTTCATCCTAGGCAGGAAGTGTGCAGCCCTCGAGTCTTTACCCCCCACGCGGTGCCATTAGCTCGGCTACAAGTGGTGCATTGTGATAAAGGTACTGTGTCCAGTTCGGGCTCCTCAGCTCAACAAGGACCAGGAGCTACTGGAGAGGATCCAGCGCAGGGCCACAACGATGATGAAGGGCCGGGAGCACCTTCCACCTGAGGAAAGGCTGGGAGAGCTGGGGCTGTTCAGCTGGAGAAGAGGAGGCTGAGGGGGATCTTATCAATGCTTATCCATATCTAAAGGGGGGGTGTCAGGAGGATGGGGCCAGGCTCTTCTCAGTGGTGCCCAGTGACAGGACGAGGGCCATTGGCCATAAACTGGAAACAGAAGGTTCAGCCTGACCATGAGGAAACCCTTCTTCCCTGGGAGGGTGACAGAGCCCTGAACAGGCTGCCCAGAGAGGGGCTGGAGTCTCCTTCCCTGGAGACTTTCCAAAGCCCCTGGGCTTGTTCCTGTGTGATCTGCTCTAGGGAATCCTGCTCTGGCAGGGGGGTTGGACTAGATGATCTCTAGAGGTCCCTGCCAACCCCTTCCACTCTGTGAATCTGTGGATGCAGCAGCTGTTTCTGACAACGTAAAATTCTGAAGGCAGATTATAATGCTGTCTTCTGTTTAGCTGCTTTGCTTCTGTTGGTATTTTCTTTGTATGGAAACACAGCCCTCCTCACCACGTTACTGTTTGTGAAGGCTCCTCTCTGGCAAAAGACCCATTTTCAGGCATTCTGCACTTAAAAAGCAAATGGGATTTGCTAAACTAATTTCCTTGAGAAGGAGAGGGGGGGAAATAATCATAAACCTAGTTATGGTGAAAGAATTCATATTCCTCTTGGCTCTAAAGGAAGGTAGAGACTTGGTTATGGTGACAAAAATTCTGATGGCAGTATTGTTTTCTTTTGGGTACTGAAGAATAGAGAAGAAGCGTGCTGTTGTCCCAGAACTGGCAGAAGCTGTCAAAACACGGGACGGACGAGAAGTGAACTGGGAATACTTCTATCAGCTGCTATTTACCGTGGATAACTTAAAACTTGTCCATATCGCTTGCCATAAGAAAACCAATCATAATCTCAGCTGTGACAAAACTAAAATCTACAGAAAAAGGAAGCAAAACCACAAGATTTCATAGCGACGTCTGTGTCTTTCAAAACCACGTCACGTGGTACCATTTTTAAATAGCTCTTGTTTCTTATACAAAAACTTACTTACGAGTCCTTGGCAAGAGACTTGCTAAGTGATCCAGCTGCCGTCTCATGACACACGTTCATATCGTGTCTAACTACTCACTACAAGCCTGCCTTTGATCACCCCGTGCTCAGCGCCAGAACATAGAGCTGTGAGCATAACACTGAGGCCAGAGGCTGACAGTCGTTACGCCCTACGATCTCCTGCCATGACAGGCGTAGGCCCAAACCTCTCAGTACACAAACCCAAAGCATAGACAAAGCATTTCTTAAAAACTAATCTGAGGGGACTCGTGGATTCGTATTTCTCTGAACGTTAAGCCAGCCACAGAATACTTCAGGATCGTTACTTTGCTCTGTGCCTTTTCCCACTATTTTAGGTAAGCCAAAGGGCATTCAGTGACAGAGCTGCTGGCTCTTCTGTGCCAAAACACCTCTGACAGGTCCATTTGCTGCTGCTCTAGATATGCATCTCCTAGAAGGAAAAGCAAGGCCTATCTTTGCTTTTACCACCTTTGCCCTTTGTCACTCATTTCCCTCTCCTTTCAAACAGTTCTTGTCTCTAGCAGGAGTTTGCTTGAAGCAAAACAAGCAACGTTACTGTATAATAATCATGTATCATAATCTCCTGCTTTAGAGAGTAATTGCTTTTGTAAAACACATCCTACCTCAGGTAATAAAATACAAATAGGGCCATTTTTACATGATTTTATTTTTTTTAAATGTCAGCTGATGCAACTGAACTTTTGGGGATGGTGTAAGCAACGTGATATTTTTTTTTAAATTAAAAAGACGCCACCATCTTTCTGTGCGGGTCTGCAGGTGCACGAGCGGTTAATTAGGTGTAACATGGCACAGACAGACTTGAGCGCAGGGAAATGCATTTCTGAATGAGCGTTTGTCACTTCTGTAGCGTGACTCAGCTCTAGGGAAGAGCTCTGTTTTCCCCGGTGTCGCTGGTCCCCTTAGCGGGTCAAATCCAGCCAGTCCCTGCAGAATCATACTAAGGTAGTATTGCTGCGTGAACCATCGCAGCCTCGGAAACATGGGAGCTTTGCTACAGAGAGTATATTTTCTTACTTTAAACAACTAACTCGGTTCCCTTCCCAAACGTTTCAACCTGAAAAGGAAGTAGGTGCATTTTATATACAGGATTTGTAATCCCAGTGCATCGAATCGAGCCTTCCAGCTTGCCTTACTGAACGTACGCGTCAGTATCGAAGACGGAAGCGCACCCGACGCTGTTTTGAGATCGCGAATGCGTCGCAGCCAAGACTGATGGCAAGTACGGTGTCATCCATACGGCACCCTTCCTACACGCGGAACATCACCGTTTGACACGGGTGAAGCAAGAAGGAATGTGTGCAGGCGTGGTTGCTAGAGACGGCAGCGAGTATGGCATTTATGGAAAGCTGGGGGAGCTGCTTCAAGATGGAGTTGTGCTGAAAATCATGAATATGCTATTAAAAAAAAATCAGATTTTTTTTTTCTGTGTTACAGAATTAGTGTGAAAAGGAGCCAAGAAGTATCGTTGAGAGAAACAATGCATCAGCTGGAGTGGAAATGTGAATAAATTAACATGTCATGCATATGCAATTTGTTTGGCTTACCACTTTCGAATGTTTAACAGGCTATAGCTGTAGAAATTAATATTTATTTAAACCATCTGCTGATAACATTTTCTTTATATTTTTAGAAATGTAGAAGAAACTATTTATAACAATAAAGATCTGGAAGCTTATTGCATAGTCACGCTTTCAAAGTATCACTATAAACACTGGGTGAGTTCACAGTTGCTGAAATCATCTGACGTTGCCTGTTACTTTCTAAAAAACACAGACCAAAATAACAGATTTGGTGGACTGACCCAAATCTTTAGCAATCAATAACCCTTTCGTCTACCAAGTCAGATGCTGAGAGATTTTATTTCTCCTTTATCACCCCCAGTGTACTTGTTCACAAAACTTCTATTCCTCACCCCTGGAAGTTAATTGAAAATACTGCACGAGCTGCATCACACAGGTATTAAAGGCAACACTTAGGGCTGGTCTGGTGGAAGAGGGAAGCAGTCGGCCTCACATGGTGCTTGGTCAGAGAACTGACATGCAATAAAACCTTAACTTCCAGAGCTGAACGCCACTCAGCTCAGACACCCAGGCATTTACATTTGCCAGCAGAACTGAGTTTGAGAGGTTTAACTGGCGCTGGTTTAGGTGTAAACAATGCACCACAACTTGCACAACGGAGGCTGTGTCCCTCTTTGTGCTGAGTACTCGACTGGCTGCGTTACTAACTGGATGCCAGTGGTAGGCATCGCAGATGTAAAAGGACCAGGTTCTATAAGGGTTTGCTTGGCTGTTTTTAAAAGGAGCGAGACCAAACATTTGCCCTAGATATGAGCTCAAATTCATAGAAAACCATCAAGAACTTCTGTTTACCCTGTTTGTTTCCTAAATATTGGTGGTAAAATGATAAATTACAATTTATTTCTAAATCACTGACAATCCAGTCAATTTTTGCCCCAGATAACTGTGGGAAAACACTGTAGCTGCCAATTCCAGAACAACAAACTAGTTCTCCCTCTGAGAAAAGGCAAACGCAGACACCTTATGTTAGTGACACAGCCAACCATCGTTACGCGGTTACAAAGAAAAAGAAAAAAGGTTTCACTTGTTTACACCGTGTTGTTAGCAACATCCTCTTCCTCCTCCTCATCTTCCTTTGTGATGAAATGCAGCTTTCTGAATTCCCGCCTGCTCATCGTTGTGCTTGGGAGTGCAACTGCGGGGAGATCCTTGAAGGAAAGGAGAAAATCATTAAGGAAAGTCTCTCACGGCAGACCTCCTACCTCTTCAACAGTTCACATACTTCCACATCTGATAGGAGGCACCAACACACACCTCTTCTCTTGAAAGGGGTGGCATAAACCCACAGCTAAAGCAGAGGAGCTTGCCCAAAGCAGTCACGGTCAGAGTGAGCCTCTTCTCTTGAAAGGGGTGGCATAAACCCACAACTAAAGCAGAGGAGCCCCAAAGCAGTCACGGTCAGAGTGAGGCCTGGCATTCCTCCTGCAGCCTTGAGAAGGATTCACAAAGGGTGAAGCAATCCACAAACAAATCCTCACTGCTGCTGGCTAAGTACCAACCGTGACTCCTGCTAAACACGAATCCTTAGGTAACGCCTGAAGGAAGAAGGCATTAGTACTTGCCCAAAGTCATACAACGTCAAAGGCAGACTGGGATTTGAATTTAAAGTTTTGGCCCTTGATCCTACCAAAAGCAGAGGTGGCCAGAGGCCAGTTTCCATGCCAAAGAATTACAACAATGACAACAGTCACAATAAAGAACCAATAACCAGTGAAAAACTATTTAGACAGAAGAATGCTGTGTCTCCATCATATGTATGCCTTTTGGGCTAAACAATAAGAAAGGGTTTACATCTGAAATTAACTCAGCTGGGAAAATAATTTCATCTCTGATTGAGACAATTCTACTTAGGAGACAGGGATACGACTCCAGATGAGTCCCAACACTGGTCAAGTTTGCCTACAGTTCTGACACTAACCTAATTTTGTTTGAAGATGCAAGACTGCAGTGGAACAGAGCTGAGTCTGTGAAGCGTGAACAGGCGGTCCTCATCTTACCTGTATAAACCCAACATCTCCAAAGAACCGGTCCACTGGCATTGGCTGGTTGCTGTCTTCATCCAAGAAAACACTATTGTCTAGTTCTTTTGGCTTCTTCGTCAAATCTCCATCCTCCAAGCTAGACCCATCTGAAAATACACTCTCGCAGCTGCTCTCCTCCTCACTGAGGACATCACAGTGCAGATTCTCATCACCGTCCATTTTAGATGGGGCACTACTTGATGTCACTGCACGTGGATCAAGAGAAACAGTGTGTTCCTTTTCCTGTGTGTCTACATTAGTCTCTGGAATGTTTTCACCTGTTTCCTGTTGAATTACTTTGCAGTGTCCTGGATCTTCTAAACGTCGACCCCCATCAGATGTTTCAGGCATTTCCCCCAGTGCAGCAAGATTTCCACTTCCAGATGTAAGTCCTTCCAGTTCTGACTTTGCTGCACTGTTTTCTTCATATTTTAGCCTCTTTGAGGGTCGTCTGTCAGCCCCTCTGTATGAAGAAGACTGTTGGAAAAAAGAGAAGATCCTAAGGCTTACTTGAAATAAATAAAACCAAAATCACCAGATCGCTTCAGTTGCAAGGCTGGATGTGGAACAAGGCGAAGATTGATCCAAAGCAGCATCGCTAAGAAAAATAATTAGTAGAAAACGCACATGAAAAGAAGAGGAACTGATAGCTGATGCTAAACCACACCGTACACAGCCCGTCACCAGTGGAAAGCCAATTCTCAAAGCACAAACCAGCACCGTTATGTGGCTTATTACCACTTCCGTATTTTCTTAGGGATGCTGTAGATGGCAATTAATGTAGCAGAACCAACTATCACACGACACGGCAAAGCACCCCGCCGCTTCCTAGCGGCACAGTGCACCGGCCAACAGCCCACGGCCGGCCTTTGAACAGCACGGAACCCCAGAGCTGGCCCTGTGGCACACCGAGCCTCCCCTGGGCTGTATCTGCCCACAGGCGCCTAACCAAGTGGTGGGAAGGGCGAGGAGTTTAGTTCAATTCTCCAGGCAATTCCCTCATGGTGATGCTCGGTTCGCAGCTCAATAATTAGTCGCACCCCCTACGCTGTTCCTG